TCTGTCTGTCTTTCCTTCTGTCTGTCTTTCTGTCTGTCTGTCCTTCTGTCTGTCTGCCTGTCTGTCCTTCTGTCTGTCTGTCCTTCTTTCCATCTGTCTGTCTGTTTATCTGTTTGTTTATCTGTCTGTCTGTCCTTCTGTCTATCTGTCTGTCTGTCCTTCTTTCCGTCTGTCCGTCTGTTTGTCTCTATATCTGTCTGTCTGTCTGTCTGTCTGTCTGTCTGTCTGTCTGTCTGTCTGTCTGTCTCTCTGTCTGTCTCTCTGTCTGTCCTTCTGTCTGTCTTTCCTTCTGTCTGTCTGTCCTTATGTCTGTCTGTCTGTCTGTCTGTCTGTCTGTCCTTCTGTCTGTCTGTCTGTCTGTCTGTCCTTCTGTCTGTCTGTCTGTCTGTCTGTCTGTCTGTCTGTCTGTATGTCTGTCTGTCCTTCTGTCTGTCTGTCTGTCTGTCTGTCCTTCTGTCTCTCTGTCTGTCTGTATGTCTGTCTGTCTGTCTGTCTGTATGTCTGTCTGTCTGTCTGTCCTTATGTCTGTCTGTCTGTCTGTCTGTCCTTATGTCTGTCTGTCTGTCTGTCTCTCCATCTGTCTGTCTGTCTGTCTGTCTGTCTGTTTTTCCTTCTGTCTGTCTGTCTGTCTGTCTGTGTGCCTGTCTCTCCATCTGTCTGTCTCTCTGTCTGTCCTACTGTTTGTTTGTGTGTGTGTCTGTCTGTCTCCTCTCTCTGTCTGTCTATCTCACCATCTGTCTCTCCATCCATCCATCCATCAATCTGTCTGTCTCTTCTGTGCTTATATCTCCATCTGTCTCTCCGTCCACCTGTCTGTCCGTCAGCCTGACTCTCAGTATAGTGTCGACTCTCCTCCTGTAATAGAGAAGTGTGGTCCTGCTTTAAAATGCTTCTATGTGCCGAAGTGTCAGGTAATTTCTCTCCGGCACTCTTATCTCTGCATCCCAGCATTCCTTCCTCCCTCCCATCGGCATCACTCCATCAGCTGTGCTCAGAATCTGCCAGTAAATCAACTTAAACACATTCACCAGCAAACACAATCAAATCAGACTAAAGAATTAACGCTCCAAAATTCAGCCGTTCGCCATTCATGTCCCAAGCCAAGGCTCTTTAGTTTTCATAACTCCACTCTGACATATACGTTGTGCTGTAAAGGGTGTTCTCTCAGGATTAAATGTGTTCAGGCTGATGTGCTGGCGTGCTGACCGTCTGTGTTGTGCTTATAGAAACCTCCCGTATCCTTCCTTCAGCTGAAGCAAAACCTCCGTCCTTCCCCTGAATCCTGCTTTACGTACAAACCGCCACAGGTTAGACGTGTGTCTCTGTGTTTATTGTGTGTTATGTTTATTAAAACACTGATTTCAATGGTTCCCTCTTTATAAACATGTCTGTGCCAGTGTCATGAGTTTGATGATGCTGTAATTCCTTTGTTCTGAATGTTATTCAATTATTCCTCAATGATATGTCTCTGTAAATATCGTCAGTGTGAAAAGAAACACGATTTGCTGTGGTCAGACTGCCCCCTAGTGTTCATTTTACCTGCAAACTGCAGTCAAACATATGTTGAAGTACGTTTTAGCTGACGTATGTATTTCCATTGACTTTATCTGTGTAAATGGCATCATTGAGGTCGTGTCGAGAGGTGTTTTCGGAGGATTGGGTTTAACGAGGACTGTTGTATAATTTTTCATCATGTCAGACATCGGTTCTGGATCCAGTGGAGGAGATTTCAGCGTTCAGCTCAAACAACGGCAGTGAGAAGGTCAGTAAAATAATGCTCACAATATAGTTCATGTGTAACTTCGCTCTGTTATACATCATTTGGGAAATATTTATAAATGACAAAAATTTCAAAGGGGGTTTTATATATATATATATATATATATATATATATATATATATATATATATATATATATATATATATATATATATATATATATATATAT